ACCGGGCTGACCAAGCCGTCATACCGGGCTGGGTAATAAGAGAAAAGAAAGAGGGGAGAGGGAGGGAAAGAGAAAGAAGAGGAAAAGAAAAGGAAAGAAAAAGAAAAAGAGAAGAGAAAAATAAAGACAAGAATAAAAAGGAAGATATAATGACCAGACTCACAACACCCTGCAACCACTTCTCCACTTCAAAAACTGTCATAACTCCTTTGATCTATGCTGCCCGATGGCGTAACCACTGCGGGACAAGGGGAATATAGGCTATCTATCTTTGAAAAATCTTCCCCACCCCTTTATAAATGCCTTTTTCATCCCCTGAAAGTGCCTAAAAACCTCAAATTTCGCGCGCATTTCGTGTTGACATGGGCCAATTGTGAAATTAGAATTAAAAACACCGGGGGACAAGGGGAAAATATCCATCTTTGGAAAATGTTTCCCCACCCCTTGACAAATGCATCCTCTGAAAGTGCCTAAAATTCTCAAATTCTTTGCGTGCATTTCTTGTTACGGTAGGCCAATTTCCTCTATAAATTGCACGTTTTAGGGAGTTTTCATCAATTCCGACAAAATTAGAATTAAGTAGTTTTTTAGGTCTTTTTTAGGTTTATCCTTTTAAGTTATTTAAACACATAATAGTCGCAAACTCAAGAAAGACAAATTTAAGATAGATCATTTTAACCTAAAAGAAGGGCCTCCATGTGTATTGATGGTGAAAGAATATGTTTTTAGTAAATAAAACCAGGATGAAAATGCTTATATTTAGTTTGAAACACTCATGTGTGGCCTATATTATAAAATAAGATAAGCCCTATGTCGTATTGTTTTCTATATGGGGAGTGGGGTGTGGTGGGTATGGTAAATTACTAACCGGGAAAATAAATACCCACTCTTACCCAAGACACCTGTTACGTGCCTGGAGTTAGCGCCAATGTGTGCCCTTGTGCGGACAGGGGATGTTCCCCCTCTGAAGCTGGAAACCTTGTTTTTGCAAAACAAATTGATGCAATTTGCTATTGTACAGTACGCCTAATCAATAAATTCCTCATCAACCGATATAACCTTAAACATTCTTGGAATTGACATAACATTACTGATGTCGTACACACTCTTCAGTGTGAAATGTGGCTCTCTTTGCAAGCACATCTAACATCTAAGGAAAGAAGAGCTTAGATTGGTACAAGATAAAATAATTTTGTTATCAACATTAATACATTATGCAGTCATGTGACTGGGTATACAGTTGTGTATGGATATATATGTACTTATGTACTGTATGTGTATTTCATGTACGTTTGTATGGTGTTTGTATAATTGTTCATGTGATTGTTTGCATCACTTTATTTTGCCTTAAGTTTTTTTTTAGTTTAAGATTGCTTTTAATTTTATATGGCTGAACAGTTTTTTTTTGTTTTTTTTTTACTTTTCCTTAATGTCCCTTTTGAAAATTTGAATTGTATTTTTCTTAGCATAAGTCTTTGTTGTGAACTTTACTGTACATTTTGTTTTGGACGCACCTTCGATTGAGAAGTGTGCCACTGATTGAAAAGTGTAGTTCCTAATAAATTATTATTATTATTATATGCTAATTTTCATCTTTGTAAGCGCATAAGACAGTGCAAATTATTTCTGTGACAGTCTTTGAAGTGTGTAAAGCTCCATTTTATCCCATACATAGTCAAAATATTGGGGGGATGATACAATGGACCATCCCCCCATGTCAAATAAATATATCCC